AAATATATGTTTATTAAATGAGGTCTAATGTTACAACTAATCAGGGATCCCTTTAAACCTTGCCAAGAACAAACTCAAGCAGAAAATGTCAGATCAAGGAGAAACTGGCGTTGATCAACACATCAGACTTTACTTTTGTTGAGGTCGAACACAAGCTGAAACTGCAGTTTGTTCGATAACTTTCATATCAGCTCTCGTCACAGCTGGTTACTGAATGATGCACGTGGGGAAAARCACAACTCATTATCCTGAGAAAACCGTCAGAAAATGAACTTATCTTGAGAAAACTCTCATCCTCATTTTGTGATAGCAACATAAATATGTTGTCAAAGTAATTAACATGAATGAGATCCTGGAGAAGAAGTCCAGAACAGATATTAAAGAGTCAAAACTGAGTTCAGTGTGGGTTGTTGTGATGGACAGTGGAGTGGCAGGAGTGTTACATTTAACATAGGAGAGACTGCTTCTGTTGGCAGTTTGAAAGCTGTTACAGGGACGGAGGGATCTGGCTGTAATAATGGGCTGAACTGGGAGAGGAGCAGCAGTAGAGGGCGGCAGTGATAGAGGMGTTTATGACTATYTAGCTGCTCAGAAACTTTTTATTTACAAATTAAAAGATGTCAAGAAAAGAAGTCTTGTCCATCCAGCCTTACATGTTGGAGCCAGAGTCTGACCCAGAACTAGAGTCTGACCCAGAACCAGAGGACAATGAAGACCACCAAAGTGTAGTTGGTAACTCCAGACCTTATTTAAAGTTCTGTTGCAAATAATTTGATGTAATAGTCCCAAAAACCATGAAAAATAGAGAAAATATGTTGAAAAATAAGACAAAAACAGAATATAAAGATATCTCTGCAGCACCATGAGAGACTAAATTCAACTTTTCTGACTCCAAGTCTACAACAAATTGTATTTAACAGCCAAAAAAGTAGATTTCGTTTGAAATGTCCTCTTTAAAACAGCTCCAATATCAAAGATCTTTGCACCTCTCTTGTGGTCGAAATATTAAAATATCTCTTGGAGAAGTGTCCACTGTACCAGGATTCCTCATCAGGAAGTAAACGTTTATTAGTTGATCTTAAATCCTGGCTGCAGTGGAAAAGAGTCTAAAAGTTGTCAACATGTTTTTAATTTCTGTGAAAAAGAAGAGCCTCAACAACCAATATATTGAGATCCACATAAATCAAATCACCTTTATGGTCACCAGTWTTTACATCAGGTCAGTCCCAACAGTCCCAGCCCTGTTTGTGGATGAAGGCACGCCTCATGTTGTCAYTTATGGTGGACGTCACAGTTTCATGTCAGCCAAATAACAGACATGTCAGAGGGGATTTTCAACATCCTCTTACCGAATGAGGTCCAGCAGAGCGTCAGCAGAGCTGGTCATTGGCTTCTTGCTGTCCTCAGAGTCCTCCTTTTGGGCGGCGCCGCCGGGGTGTATGATGTAGACCATGAGGATYCCCACCACCACAGCAACAAAAGTGGTCCACAGATAGTAGGAGATGGTCATGATGCCCAAACGGCTCGAGCACTTGGCGTCCAGCGCAGCCAGACCTGACATCAAACTGAAGTGTGAGGAGGGAGAGGAGACACAACCACAGAACAGACAGAAACAAACAGGAATAATTTAATAAAAGTCATGGCTTTTAAAGGGATCCACGATTACTTGTAACATTAGACTTTATTTGATAAACAT